CCATGTCCTGTGCTGACTTGCACCCTTCTCCTGCACCCCATGTCCTGTGTTGACTTGCACCCTTCTCTTGCGCCCCATGTCCTGTGCTGATATGCACCCTTCTCTTGCACCCCATGTCCTGTGCTGATATGCACCCTTCTCTTGCACCCCATGTCCTGTGCTGACTTTCACCCTTCTCTTGCACCCCATGTCCTGTGCTGACTTGCACCCTTCTGCACCCCATGTCCTGTGCTGACTTGCACCCTTCTGCTGCACCCCATGTCCTGTGGTGACCTGCACCCTTCTCTTGCAAATTTGTCGAGCCCTGCTGTAGTGCCACAAGATGTGACAAAGTGTTGTAGTTTTTAAAGAAAACATTTTTTAATTTGTTTTTGTAGTTTGGAGTGTTCTGTGACCTAGCATATGTCAAAAAACAAGTCTTCAGATGACATAGGGGGCAACATGAATAACCACAGCCTGCATTTAAAGTATCTCTCCTTGAGATAATTAGTTTGGCTGTCATGCCTGATTTAGCTTCATTGTTTTTGTTTTTTTCCAAGTCCCTGATATGGAACAGGTATAGCTATAGGGAATTTTGACACTCATTCATGGCATGTTTGTTTCTGCTTTGAAGCTCCAATGTATTGAAGCCAAACAGCCAAGCCACTAGCATTTTCAGAAAGAGGCCAAAAAAGGCAGCCTATATATTTCTCTCATGACAGGTGCAATTTAAAGTGGAACCCATAACAACGTGATAAAAAAAAATGTTCTTTAGCAAGGAATATACATTTCACATTAGAAATTATGCCACGAAAATTAGTTTGTGCTGTAAATTGCCTCCAGCATTGCTCCTGTTTTTTTCTTGCTGGAGGCCGCCATTTTGCTGAAGCCCAGAGCCCCTGAGCAGCAGGAAATCTTTAGGTTGTCAGCAGATCAGCCTCTAGTGGCTGTTTTGAGGCACAGTGCCAAATAATAGAGCAACTGAGCATGTGCAGAGCAGGGTGAGGCAGTGTATTTATTACAGGATTTTAAACAGTATAGATGATGCTACAGGAGCTGGAACAGGAAGGTTTGAAATGTTGGACTAGAGCTCCACCTTACTTTTTGCCTTGAGTTGAAGTAGCTGAAGAGCTAGTAAGAGAGTGAAGAGTTCAGTTTTTAGCTTTTACAGTCAAGATTCTCATGGTAAAATCTGCACTTGCTCCAGCCCCACCGGGTTCAACATTTTTTGGTGATCCGCGTTTTCGTCTCCACAGGCTTTTTGCTGGTGGTATGACCGTGCTTTTGTTGGACTATCAGATTTTCATCGTAGTGGGGCTTTTATACCCTATGATATGCTACGTACGATATTTGATATCCTGCTTCGTGAACATTTTCGCTATCAGCAAATTCAACACTTTTTCAGTTCCCATTTTGGTTTGATGCCCTCGTCCCCAATTACTTATTTTGATTGTATCAGTCGTGACTGGCCCAAGCGTAGGGGTCTTATCTCAGATTTATATCGCTCCTTTTTACAGATCATTTTTCCCTTGCCTCCTTTGTATAGACAGAAATGGGAGATTGAGTGTGGGGTTACATTTTCCGATGAGGACTGGGTTTCTATGGTGGAGAATATATGGAAGGGCTCTAGATCCTTAACTCGCTGGTACTATACCCCCTCTAGACTTCATGTCATGTTTCCGGGAACATCGCACCTTTGCTTTAGGGGGTGTGGCTTGGCTGGTACCCTTGTACATGTATTTTGGGCTTGTCCTGGTCTTTCCTTGATCTGGCGTAGGATTTCGGAGGTGGCTTCCGATTTGGTGAGTTCTCCGGTGGATTTATCCTTGCAAATTTGCTTATTGAGTGTATCGCTTTCGGGGATCCCAGTTAACCAAATGAGGCTAATTCACACTATCTGCAATTCCACCTTATGGGCCATTGCCCTTTATTGTAAGTCTCCAGTAGCCCCTTTGACTTCTGTCTTACGGAGAGCTGATTTGGTCATACAGTGAGGCACAGAAGTATTTGAACACCCTGCGATTTTGCACGTTCTCCCATTTAGAAATCATGGAGGGGTCTGAAATTCACATTGTAGGTGCATTCCCACTCTGAGAGACAGAATTAAAAAAAAAATTCAGGAAATCACATTGTATGATTTTTAAAGAATTTATTTGTCTTGCACTGCTGAACATAAGTATTTGAACACCTAAGAAACAGCAAACATTCTGGCTCTCAAAGACCTGTTACTGTGCCTTTAAAAAGTCCACCTCTACTCCAGTCATTAATCTAACTTAGTAGCACCTGTCTGAGCTCTTTAAAGACACCTGTCCACCCCACAGTCAGTCAGACGCCAACTACTACCATGGGCAAGACTAAAGAGCTGTCAAAAGACACCAGAGACAAAATTGTGGACCTCCACAAGGCTGGAAAGGGCTACGGGGCAATTGCAAGCAGCTTGGTGAAAATAGATCAACTGTTGGAGCAATTGTTAGAAAATGGAAGAGGCTAAAGACGACTGTCAGTCTCCCTCGGACTTGGGCTCCATGCAAGATCTCACCTCGTGGGGTATCACTGATGATAAGAAAGGTGAGAAATCAGCCCAGAACTACAAGGGAGGAGCTGGTCAATGACATGAAGAGAGCAGGGACCACAGTTTCAAAGGTCACTGTCGGTAGAACACTACACCGTCATGGTTTCAAATCATGCATTGCACGAAAGGTTCCTCTGCTCAAGTCATCACATGTCCAGGCCCGTCTGAAGTTTGCCAATGACCATCTGGATGATCCAGAGGAGGCACGGGAGAAAGTCATGTGGTCAGATGAGACCAAAGTAGAACTTTTTGGTCTAAACTTCACTTATCGTGTTTGGAGGAAAAAGAAGGATGAGTTGCATCCCAAGAGCACCATCCCTACTGTGAAGCATGGGGGTGGTAACATCATGCTTTGGGGGGGTGCTTTTCTGCGAAGGGGACAGGACGACTGCACTGTATTAAGGAGAGGATGAATGGGGCCATTTATTGTGAGATTTTGAGCAACAATCTCCTTCCCTCAGTCAGAGCATTGACCTGACATAACAACGACCCGAAGCACACAGCCAGGATAACCAAGGAGTGGCTCCGTAAGAAGCATATCAAGGTTCTGGAGTGGCCTAACCAGTCTCCAGACCTAAATCTAATAGAACATCTTTGGAGGGAGCTGAAACTCCGTGTTGCTCAGCGACAGCCCCGAAACCTGACAGATCTAGAGGAGATCTGTGTGGAGGAGTGGGCCAAAAAATCCCTGTTGCAGTGTGTGCAAACCTGGTCAAGAACTACAGGAAACGTTTGACTTCTGTAATTGCAAACAAAGGCTTCTGTACCAAATATTAACACTGATTTTCTCAGGTGTTCAAATACTTATGTTCAGCAGTGCAAGACAAATAAATTCTTTAAAAAAAAAATACAATGTGATTTCCTGAATTTTTTATTTAAATTCTATCTCTCAGAGTGGGAATGCACCTACAATGTGAATTTCAGACCCCTCCATGATTTCTAAGTGGGAGAGCTTGCAAAATCACAGGGTGTTCAAATACTTCTGTTCCTCACTGTATGCTTATGGAACGTATTCAATATTCATTGCTGGATAGGATGCTTTTATTCAACAGGAAATGGGATGGTTGCAGAACGCATTGACGTTTATTATTCGATTGATGTTGTTTTGTACAGAACCTTTTATTGATCTTGTGGTTCTGCCGATATTATTGACTACCTCTTTCATGTACTGGTTTTTTTTTACACTTTCATGATTATACTTTGTTTTTCTGTTAATTTCTCATGTTTTTTTTCAAGCTGTTTATTCTACCTCACTAAATGGTGTGGTTTTTGTAGTCTATCTCCTAATAAAAATGTTTGTAAACAAAAAAATCTGCACTTGCTTCTAGAGGCATCTGGAGGCCAAACGGGAGTCCTTCTAAAACCAATACTGAATGGTTAGCTATCCTTTGATTAGGGTTGCACAGGTACCGGTATCGGTGACGATACTAAGCATTTGCAAGAGTATTCGTGCAAATGTTCCGATACCTTTTGCTGTGTGATTTGAGCCTATACAAAAGAAATTGGCTCAAATCGCACTGCAAAAGAATCGCATTTGATTTTAACAGGAATGCGGTACGATTCCTGTCTGAATCACATGTCGTTTTCCCGCATGTGCGGTGCGATTTGGGCCATTCATTTTGTATGGTATCTGTATCGGCAAGTACTTGAGCACAAGTATCGGTACTTATACTCGCCGATAAAAAAAAAAAAAACGGTATCTTTGCATCTCTGCCTTTGTTTATTGGTGTCAGTGGGAGGAACACTGCCCCATACTTGAGCCTCATTATTGGTGTTGGTTGGAGAAAGGTTATGTTCCAGTATTGGTGTTAGTGGGAGAATGTTTTGACCAATCACTGGTGTCAGTTGTATGAATACTGCCCCAGGGACATGTGAATCAAGTCATTTTAAAGTGTCAACACTTCTGCTGCATTCACACCTGAGCATCCCATTTTTGCTTTGTTTTTTCAGGGATTTATTTGAGCATTTTTGTACAGTGTTTTCCAAGTGTTTTTGAGCTTTGCCGTTTTCGTATTCGCCAATAGAGAAAACTATAATGTCTAGTTTTTCATTGTCTGTGGTAGGGATATATACCCTCTGTTTGTTTTTGGTGACGCTGGATTTGAAACTGATGGGAGGTCCAAAAGTATGCGTTGCCATCGGAACAGGGGGAACATCTTTCAAAGAGGACACTAATTCTGGTGACAACTGTCTTAGAGGATACATCTTGCTTTGGAAAGATTTCCTCACTTCTCGTTTTCTCTGAGAAAGGAAGTTAAGGGAAAATTCCCCAATGCAATGGCAAAACCTGAGCGGAATTTGAACAGTTTTTGGCTTTAAAAGTACAGCATTATAAATTGTCTTTTTCTTCATTGAGTGCACATTTTATTTCAGGGTTAACACCATGTTTTACTTGCTTTCAGGAGGACTGACGTGCCAGACAGGGAGACTAGAGTGACATCCAGCCAAAATGGCAGGCCTCCTGAGATCCATAGCAACCAACTGTACGAGCCCCGTCTTCAGCAATGTAATTTCCCTGAAGGTCCAGACTGTGAAGACGCCATGTCTGCGCATGTTCCGTACACACAAAGTCCTCTGGTGCCAGAAGCCTGAGAATCCAGGTAACCTACAGTCAGGGACTTTTTTTTTTCTACTAAATCTATGATATTGCCAGAAGCAGTTCTTTTATGAAATGTTGACTATATTTGCCTTGGTATATAATTGTGTCATGAATAACCCACCCTTACATCCTAAGTGCAGCCAAAATAAAAAACTGAAAAATCAGCACTAGGGACATAACTTACAGTTAATAGGATATGTCCCTTGTGCTTATTTCTATTAAATCTTCCTCCATCATGCCCCTCCCCAACCCTGTTGTCATAATCTCCGGTGGCTACCGGGGTTAATACAACTAAAGGGCTGTCACAGGATCTTGACTATGCCCACCTTTCCCATCCAGTCTCTCTAATCATAGGAGCTGTACTACAGCTTCTATGAATGGACTACGATCTAAGCCTGGGTGATGGGTGGATTATTGATAGCTCCTACTCCTCCATTCTTGGATCCTGTTTAATTCCTAAAAGCTGTAGTATGGATTCTATGAATGGAGGGGCTGGGCAGAAATAGCAGATATAGTAGAGCTCTCTTGATAAGACCCTGTGATAGCCAGTTAGTTGTATTAACCTCTGCCGCATCAGAAGTGGAATTGGCACAAAGGACACATCCTACTGACTGTAAGTTATGGCTCTTGTGGTGAATTGTCTGTTTGTTTGGCACTTTGGCTGTTCTTAAGCTTTCAGAGAATACTTCAATTTTGGGACCATGTTTCATGTTGCATCAATATTTAGGGTGTAACCTGAAACATATCACATTCTCTAACCCAACCCCCACCCCCACCCCCAAATACTTGAATCATGGGGTTCTTTTCCCTGCAAATTTGGCACGGTTGTTTGGCTTCTCCTGTACAGCCACATCTACCAATCCAGGAAGTAAACAATGGACTACAAGTACATCGACATCCTGGCACTAGTGCATTATCGAGAACAGTAAGCCCTTAATCCTTAGTTATGCACTAGTTCGGGGATGTCGTTGTACTTGTAGTTCATTGTTTACTTCCCCCAGCTCCATAATGAAGGGTCCATACCTCCGCAGACCCGGGGCAAGAGGTAGGGGCTTATGCATTGCAGCCGCAATACACTGATTGCGGTTGCAATGATCTGCGGGCTTCAGTGCAAAAATGTAAATGCGCTTTTTTTTTTTCATTTTTACTATCATGGGTGCATTTATTACAGTTTTGTAAAAAGTGGACTATGCCGTTTTTAAAGGAGAACTCCAGGAAAATATGAACTGTTTCACCAGCCGAAGGGACTTCTGTTTTTGATGCTGCTAGTGACAGCACTGTTTACATATCATTACCTGGGTTTGGGTTATTTCGGCTCTATAACTAGTTAGTCCAGCTTATTTCTAATCCTGGGACACAATCAATAACTGGGTATGTGATTTCCCATGTGGTTGCAGCTTGAAAATAGCACCTTTTGAGAGAACCAGCATAAGTGGAACTCCAAGCGGGGGGGAGGGGGTTGAATATTTTTTTTTTTTATCTCAATCATGCATTGTTTTGGCATCTTGGTTCCAAATTTTGGTTATCGCTTTAGAAGATTAAAGTTGTTTTAAAGCTTAAACTTTTTTTTTTAACTTTGAAGTGGTTGTAATGGCTCAATGTTTTTCTACCTGCTGTGTGCAGCCCCCCCCCCCCCAATACTTACCTGAGCCCCATCACAATCCAGCAATATGCAAGAGAGCAGAGGGTCTCTGGGGACTCTTCCTCCTCTTTGGCTGAGACAGCAGCAGGAGCCATTGGCGCACACTATTGCCAATCAAAGCCAGTGAGCCAATGAGGAGAGAGTGGGGACAGGACTGAGCTGTGCTTAGTGTGTGAATTAGAATGAGCTGCCCTCCCCCACCTTTTTACTTACGTGAGCCCTCATTTGATCCATCGTTGTGCCTGTCTGTAGTTCCTCTCTCCCAGTGGGTGTCATTGCCTCCCTCTGCTCATTGCCTCCCTCAATCATATCCAGTGACCAAGGAGTGGGGCTGTCTGTGTCTATAGACGCAGGCAGTGTGGCTGGGGAGAAAGCCCGCATGAGTGCCCCACAGGAAGTGGCTTCTTATGGGGCCACTTGCCAGAGAGGAACCAGGCACTCTGGGGGGGGGGGCCTAAGAAGAGAAGGTTCGGGGCTGCTCTGTGCAATTCCATTGCACAGAGCATGTAAGTATACACCTGTTTTATTATTTCTAAAAAAAAATACAAAAATACATTTACAATCACTTTAAGGCCACAAGTCAAAGCTCTCCACGAAAAATCGTCTATCTTTGGACATTTTCAGTTACTGTTGTGTTCTTTTCACATGGATTTCTAAAGCTTTCTCTTGGAGATTTTTTACTTTCACTAAATGAAACTAAATAAATCAACTACAGGGTCTGAAACCGTATACCAAGTCTAAGAGCTTTTTACACATTTGTATTTTACATTACTTTGCATAACAATAACCTTAACATTGCGTGCGTTCTACATGCGTTTGTCCACCTGCTGGTACTGTAGCTGAGCATTTCATTATGGACTGTATAATGATGTGTGGGCGCTCCGATGGGCTGTGTACTTTACAGGAAAATGAACTTTGAATGCATACTTTCATTATACAACCTGATGTCTGAAACCGCTCAGCTTCGGAGTTTTCCAGTTACAGCTAGACAGCCCTTGCAGAGAAAGAAAGTTGTTTTCTAAAACAGTTCTGAGTTTACTAGTAGTGGAATCTTCATAAACCGGTAAGTTGATGATTATTGTGGTTGTCAGATCAAGAGCAGTGCCAGGCATCTCCAGGTTACATCGCTTATAGGCAAATTGGGCTTTAAATGACTAAGTGGCTTCTGTGGAACGTATATATATCCTATATCAATTTTTAGCAAAAGTGTAGATTTCCTGCAAAGAGAATACCTAGGGAAAATTTGGTGCAGCTGTGCATAGAAGCCAGTTGGCTTCCAGTTTTTTTTTTTTTCTTTTGGTCAAAGCTTAATTGAACAAGCTGAATTTAGAAGCTGCCTACCGTGCGCAACTGCACCAGATTTTGCACTCTCCAGTTTTAGTAAATCAACCCCATATGTTTTTATGGTTTTTCTTTGCTACGAGTTTGATTTTTATTAGCATAAAGAAGCTTTCCATTTCTAATGGTAAGTAGGAAATGAGGGTGCATCCCCTCATTTGTGCACCTGGGAGGCAAAGGTTCAGCGTTCAGCCTTGCCACATGCAACCATTCAGTCTCTGGCAGGCTGCGGCTGAATAGTACTTTTTTTGGGCCCTATATGCTCAGAGACCATTTTTTTTTTTCAATACTGTTGCATGCCTGGTAGGCTTACTTGTTTTTGTTCCTTTCCATCTACCACCAATATGGGTGCGGTTCAGTGTACTTGCAACTTTCCTGCTGGTTTGCTGTGCTTAGCCATGGACTTCTATTACATCCTTTCAGAAAGTGCACCACGCTTGCAGGATGTAATAGAAGTCTATGGCAAAGTGCAGCTAACTCAGGAAAGTCGCATATGCACTGTACTGCACCCGTGGTGCAGGTAAACCGCAGCATATTAGTGTGAAAGCAGCCTTATATGGGGCTCAGAACAGTAAGAGTTTGTTTGCATTTGTAGATTTGGGGGTGGTAAAACCCCATAGTTAAGATGTGTTTTTACCACTCACGCTCCAACTGCACCCCCTTTAGCTGCAGTGGCAAGGGGTGTACACATTTCACAGCTTCAGCAGGAGTTATACGCCTTTTCAAGGTTGGTGGGTGTAACGCCTCCCAAGCACGACCCATTCAGCTGAATGAGGCCACTCTACAAGTGTCCTGCAACCTTGTGCAGTTCAGTTACAAGGGGTTAAAGCAGGCAGCGTTGTGTTGCTTTCTTACCACCTGCTTTAACCCCTTGGACCCTGCAGATGCATGCAATTGCGGGGCGCTTGCAGAGTGGCCCCATTTACTTAATGGGTCACAATTGGCAAGCGATAGGACCCACCAAAAGCAACAGGGGGTTTGATTCCTGCTGTGGCATGTGTACACCTTTTGGCTGCTGCCTCAACAGCTAGAAGGGTGGGGATTAGGGGCAGTAAGACCGCGACTTGACTGCATGGTTTTACTACCCCCAACTGTATGTGTGAATGAGCCCTAAGGATGCCTCTGCCAAATGCAAATGCTCAAGTCACTGCTGCTCCTCTGAACAGTGATCGGAGTGTGTTTGACAGGTGGTAAGGAGGTGATATGGTGCCTCCTCAGCACCTGTGCCCCCAGTGTAAATGGAGGCACAGACAGAAATAAAAACTGACTCTCCACTCTATCCAAAACTAAAAAAAATGCCTTTAGTGACACTTTAAATTAATCTTGCAATATAAAAAAAAACTGATACATTTAAAGTTTTTCTGAATGTCCTTTTTTTTTTTTGTTTTAAATAACAAGCATGATAAACTTACCTGCTCTTTGCAATGGTTTTGCACAGAGCAGCCCTGATCCTCCTCTTCTCGGGTTCTCTGCTGGTGCTTCTGGCTCCTCCCCTCCACTGAGTGCCCTCATAAGACACCACTTGCTATGGGGGCAATCATACATGCTCCCTCCCAAACCATCTGTGTGTTGTAAGACACACTGAGCACAGCTTAGCCCTGCTCCCTCCTCACTGGATGTGATTCTGTGCATTAATGTGAGGGCTTGGTATGAATGGAGTGGGACCCCACAACAATGTTTTATTTATTATGGTGGCGGTTTTTAAATTTAATTACCGCTTTTTTTTTTTTTCTTTCTTCACTATAGCACAGAGATTCAGCTGTCACTTTCCCCCCAGCTAAAAGAAATAAAGTTTCCTTTTAGTTTATTTCCCAAGTTAAAAGAAACAATGTTTCCTTTTAGTTTTGTTAAAAAAAAAAACAAAGTTTCCTTTAACTCTGGGGAAAGTGACAGCTAATTCTGTGAGCTATAGTGAAGAAAAAAAAAGCCGGTAATTGCATTTAAAAATTGGCTCCGACATACACTTCTTATTGTCAAAAAAAAATTTGTAAACCAAGGCATTATTTTAAATAGATTTTCATTCGTAAACCAGAAATTACATTGACAGAGACGTTCGTAAACCGAAGTACACCTGTACAGTGTATCTCTAAAGATAATTCTGAAAAAGTAAAGTATCCCCACTACAGATGACATACAGTATATGTTCTAACCAGGGATTAGACATGTGCATTTTTTTTGGTAGCAAATGATGTATATGTTTGTATATACTCAGAAAAGCTGTCGACATTACAAGAGAAAATAGATTTTATTACATGTAATGGGGTGGATTTACTAAAGGCAAGTAAAGTTACCTCAGAGCTTAGTAAATGAGGGGAGTTCTCTTGACTTCATCATCCAATCGTGCAAGTAAAAATATATATTTTTTCTTTCATGTGATTTATTATTCTTTGTAAAGTGAAGCTTTACCTCATTTACTAAGCAGTGGAACAAATTGCAAAACTTTTTTTCATTTTGCATAGGGTAAGGGAGGTTTATAACCTCTGTAAGGTGTGTTTTTTGCTCATCTGTTTCTCATTGGGGATTACCTTCTCTTCTTGTCTCATAGCCAACACAGGAAGTGAGAGTAAATCCCTAAAAAATTAAATGAATCCCTTGAACCCCCTAAGTCACCACCAGAACAGTGTCCCCATCGGAAAATTTCCCCTCTATTACTGTTCTGGGGACAAGAAAATGTGGGATTTTCTTCTACTTTCACTTTCAATGATAATGGTAAACAGGACAACTAGAGGAGGTGAAATCTCCCTAATGGGGGGCACAGATGGCAGTAGAAACCTGACAGGTGTTCTAATCTACCTCCACTCTATCCAAAACTAAAAAAAAAAAGAAATCGTTTCGTTACACTTTAAGCAAAACAAAGCAAAGGTTTCTTTGCAATGCTGTTGAGAGAACTAATCCAAAAAGATAAAGACGACTCCAAATTGGCTGTTATATTTTTACATTCCTTAAATACCGCATGACCACTACTTAGACCATGCTATTCTTAGTTACTGCAATGCATTTCATTATTTATTTCCTTTTTTGAATTGACTTTAACGCCTTTTCATGCGATATTTACCAAACGTTTTACGCATTTCGCGGTAAATACTGCAGAACTGCTAGTGAATTGACAGTTTCAGGATTGCGTGTGAAATTTAGGGAAAATGTGTTCGGATACCGAAATACTGCATGCAATCTGCTTTAGGCTATGTTCACAATATACATGCAGAAAAACTGATGAAAAATGACGCACAGATTACACTTGCAGAGACATCAGTTCTCATGCGCGATTCAATGAGTTTGTATACATGTTGCAGATTTCTGCGCAGAAAAAAACCTGCACTTGATACTAATGTTGGAGTGTATAGTAATTTATATAGCAAAGTTCAAAATTATCTAACAGTTCATACCCTTTTACAAACTTCCAGTAGCATACATTTACCTTTACTGGACATGCAGGGTTTGTAATATAAAGACCAGTCGACTGATTACTCTGTATGGTCTTTGTATTTAAAATTAGCAGGATGACCTTGTGTTGGAAAGACTGCAATGGTACATGTTAAAAGCATTTTCAAAATGGACCCTATTTGTAAGTCTAAGGGAAGAATGGTCACCGACAGCTGGAAACAAATTTGTATTACAAAATGAGAGATTGAGAATGAAAATCTGAACCTGGTTGTCTTTTAAGATTCAGTGCCTTGAAAAACTGTGAAAGTCCAAGTTTAGATCCGTAATTAACAGCGATTCAGCTAGCACGGTTTGAATGAGGTCAGCAGTAATAAGATTCAGTTTCAATTTAAAGGGCAAGTGCACTTATCGTGGGCCCTGCTCCCTTCCCCAGCCTACTTACTTGTCCCTGTTCTGCTGTGATACATTCTTCCTGGTACCATACAGCCTCTCCTTTTATAGAGGCACTGGTACTTTGCCTTAAAGTGGTTTTAAAGGTGATAGTTTTTTTTTTTACCTTCATGCATTCTATGCATGAAGGTAAAAAAACCCTCTGTGTTTACTTACTTGAGCCCAATCTCAATCCAGCGCTGTGCCTGAGAACAGCGGCTCTCTCCCTCCTCACAGGGTAGATTGATAGCAATGGGAGCCATTGGCTTCTGCTGCTGTCAATCAAATTATATCCTATGGACGTAGGCAGCGGGCATCAGGACCGAGCCAGCACAAGGGCTCCCGTAGCAAGCACCTTCCTATGGAGACACTCGACAGGAGGGAGGAGCCAGGAGGATCAGGGCACAAAGCAGATAAGTGTAACCTGGTTATTACTAAAAAAAAAGAAAAAAAAAAGTTCCAAGGTTTACAATCATTTACTGAAATAGGACTTTTGTGTATGGGGAACCATGTGATTCCCTCCCCCCATGACATTGTTAGGGTCTGAGCAGCTAACCACTGGGCTTGAACACTATTACAGAGGAAGTGGGGATGGGGTGATATGTCAATTAGTATTTTTTTTTGTTGGTTTTTTTCAGAGTGGTAAAGGGTGAGATTGTGGTTTAAAAGAAGCCATTGAAACGTGGAATATAGAAACGTGGCATGCTGCCATGTTTATTGAAGGTACAAGTGCTGGGGCTGCCATCTTGATTCTGAATTCAAAGCTTTGGTGATCAGAATCAGTGACCTAATATTTTGTATGAAATCAATGTTTCCAATGTTACATTTTGGTACAATATATGAAATATTATGGCTTTACAGTTCTAACCAATGTAACCATAGTATTTTGTGTTCCCTCCAGGAATCCCATACAAGCAACTGACAGTTGGTGTCCCAAAGGAGATCTTTCAGAATGAGAAAAGAGTGGCGCTGTCTCCTGCTGGTGTCCAGGCTCTGGTTAAGCAAGGCTTCAATGTTGTGGTCGAATCTGGAGCTGGCGAGGCCTCAAAATTCTCAGACGATCAGTATAAAGAGGTTGGGGCGAAAATCCAAGGAGCCAAGGAAGTGTTTGCATCAGACCTCATTGTTAAAGTAAATAACGCTTACATTTTTATAACATATAATTTTACATTTTGAGGTGTCTTGACCAAATACTACATTTCAGTCAAAGCAGTACAGTTTGGCCAAAGCTGCTATTGGATAGTAAAGGATCCATGGGTGGAAGAAAAAAAAATTGGAGTCAGTGTTGATGGGAGAATCCCCCCCGCGGCACTATTGTGTTCTGCCAGTGGGGAAGCTGGTAGCACTAATTGTTCAGGAAAAACCTGGCAGGCTGTTTGTACACAAGTCAATCTCCCGATCGATGTGTGTGCAACCAGGGTGCCCATACATGGATCGAGATTTGGCCAGTCACTGCTGAACCTCCCAAATTTCAATCCATGTATGGCCTGCTTAACAGTAGTGCCCCATCCTCATCCTCTGCATACTGATGGAGCATAATACAAAGACACTTGGATATTTAAAATACATTTAGATGAGCTAGTTCACCTTTTCAAAAAAAAATTGTCAATGCCACATAGGCTGTCCAGCGGACCAGAGATTTGAAATCTCCTCTCTTCTCTGTGCAGTGCTTTTGGGACGGATCAGAGCGATTCATTGTGTACGTGCAGCCCAATCAGAATCACTCTAATCTATCCTGGAAGTGCTACACAGGGAAGAGGGAGGAGAATCCCCGGACTGCTGGACTGGTTGCATTTCCAGAAGTAAGTACAGCAGGTGTACAGTGTTCACTTTTTTCTTTTCTTTTCTTTTTTTTTTTCCTGAAAAGGTGAATTAATGTTTTAGTATTTATTGACTACCTAACTGAATGTGGGTCCTTTATATTTATTTATGAGGTTTATATCTAAACTGGTCACATACCATAATCCTAATGTAATTTCAAAAAAACATGCAAGGTCAAACCAAAAGGGTATTGGAGGAGCACCTGTGGTGGTAGAAACTGTATGCAGTGGTGGTGAAGGTGAAGGTGCTAGGCTGAAATCATAGACTCTGTGACCTGGCCATGAAAAAGTTCAAGGTTTAAGGCAATTGTGAGCAATGAGATGGGCGACTTGGTGCCCCATTGATATGCTAAACTCATATTTCATTTTTCTCAAGTATCAGACACTTATTACACATCACATAGGGGGCAATGAGCATTTTACAGACACCACATTCTAAATGTTGCCTTAGGCTCCACATTTTGTCAAGATGAATGTTTAGAAGACAAATCCTGTGTGTTCTGTCTGTGCATATTGGTCATATGCAATGTCTAGTGTTTTTTGTTTTGCTTTTTTATCTTCAGTACTAATCCCTTTTTTAACCACTAACCTACAGGGCACTTATACCCCCTTCCTGCCCAGGCCAATTTCCAGCTTTCAGCGCTGTCACACTTTGAATGACAATTGTGCGGTCATGCAACATTGTACCCATATGAAATTTTTATCATTTGTTGAGACAGAGCTTTCTTTTGGTGGTATTTAATCACCTCTGGGATTTTTATTTTTTCTTAAACAAACCAAAAACCACTGAAAATTTTGAAAAAAAAAAAAAGTTTTTTCTTAGTTTTTGTTATACAATTTTGTAAATAAGTGATTTTTCTCTTTCACTGATGTGTGCTAATGAGGCTGCAGTGATGGGCATTGATAGGCTGCACTGATGGACACTGATAGGTGGCACTGATGAGGAGGCACTGGTAGGTTGCACTGATGGGCATTGACAGGCATCACTGATGGGCATTGAAAGGCAGCACTGATACATGACACTGATACATGACACTGATATATGGCACTGACTGGCACTGTTAGGCGGTACTGACTGGCACTGATGCGCACTGATAGGTGACACTGAGTGGCACTGATAGGTGGCACTGATTGGCATTGATAGGTGGCACTGATGGGTGACATGAAAGGCAGCTCAGCTGGGCACTGATATGTGGCATTGATGTGCACTGGTATGCACTGATATGTGGCATTGACATGGCACTGATGGGCACTGGCACGTGGCACTGATGAGCACTGACAGGTGCCACTTCTGGGGCCTTACTGATCATCAGGGCACACTGATCATCAGTGCCCTGATCATCAGTGTACATATCCCCTCCGCGGAAAGCCGATTACCGGCTCTCCTCTCCTCTCGAGCTGTCAGCGTGACAGCTTGAGAAGAGAGAAATGCCGATAACCGGCATTTCCATGTTTACATGTGATCAGCTGTGACTGGACACAGCTGATCACATGACCAAGCCAACATCTTCGGCTCTTTCCGTGATCCACTGTGTCCGAGGGACACAGCGCACCGGCGATCGCCACGCTGCACGCTCCCTGAGCCGCGCATGTGCAGTGAGAATGGTAGGACATCATATGACGTCCTATCAGAACGAGAGAACCACCTGTCATTGTACTATAGGGGGGCGGGCGGAAGGTGTTTAAAGTTAGTTTTCTTTTTAGTTATGCAAATTTAGCATTTTATATTTGCCTATTTCTATATTTTTTTGCTTCAAGCCATCAGGTGGCAAACACAAAATATATGTTAGTGAGCGCAATCCGACAAGCGACCAATGCACTAAAAGGAACCACAAAACCTTTCTAATAAACTCAAAAGTACAAGGAGTGCAGCGCTACATCAAATTAAATGGCCAAAAAAAAAAAAAAAAAATACAGTAAAATAATATCAATATAGTCAAATAATACTAATATTAAAATAAGTCCACTGTAATATACAGTTGTGGCCAAAATTATTCAACCCCCACTGAAATTGAGTGTTTTGGCCAGTTTGACATTGCTTTTGATCATTCAGTCATCTTGCTTACATTTACATTAAAGAGGCACTTGTAGGTCAGACAAATATAACATAACAGTTATAATGAAATAACCACAAATGTCTTTTCTGTGCTCACAGCATTATCAGTTTTATTCAACCCCCAAGTGACATTCAATCTTAGTACTTAGTACAGCATCCTTTTACAGTTATAACAGCTTTTAAACGTGAAGCATAGCTTGACACAAGTGTCTTGCAGCGATCTACGGGTATCTTCGCCCATTCTTCATGGGCAAAGGCCTCCAGTTCAGTCACATTCTTAGGCTTGCGCACTGCAACTGCTTTCTTTAAGTCCCACCAGAGGTTCTCAATCGGATTTTAAGTCTGGTGACTGCGATGGCCACTCCAAAATGTTCCAGCCTTTCCTCTGCAACCATGCTCTAGTGGACTTGGAGGTATGCTTGGGATCATTGTCCTGTTGAAAGGTCCAACGTCTCCCAAGCCTCAGGTGTGTGACGGACTGCATCACGTTTCCATCCAATATCTCCTGGTACTGAAGAGAATTCATGGTACCTTGCACACGCTGAAGCTTCCCTGTACCTGCAGAAGCAAAACAGCCCCAAAGCATGATTGACCCTCCACCATGCTTCACAGTAGGCAAGGTGTTCTTTTCATCATAGGCCTTGTTCTTCCTCCTCCAAACATAGCGTTGATCCATGGGCCCAAACAGTTCTAATTTTGTTTCATCAGTCCACAGAACACTATCCCACAACTTTTGTGGTTTGTCCACATGGCTTTTGGCATACTGCAGTCGACTCTTCTTATTCTTTGGAGACAGCAAGGGGGTACGCCTGGGAGTTCTGGCACGGAGGCCTTCATTACGCAGTGTGCGTCTTATTGTCTGGGCTGAAACTTCTGTACCCACATCTGACAAATCTTTTCTCAGTTCCTCAGCAGTCACACGGGGACTTCTCTCCACTCTACGCTTCAGGTAGCGCACAGCAGTCGAAGTCAGCATCTTCTTTCTGCCACGACCAGGTAGCGTTTCAACAGTGCCCTTTGCCTTGAATTTGCGAATGATGCTTCCTAAGGTGTCTCTTGGTATGTTTAACATCTTTGCAATCTTCTTATAGCCATTGCCCTTCCTGTGAAGAGAAATCACCTCTTCTCTTGTCTTCCTGGACCATTCTCTTGCCTTCACCATGTTTGTAACCACACCAGTAAATGTTTAGAAGGAGCTGAGTATCACAGTCATTTTAAAGCTGCCTAATTGGTGCTTATTATGCTTGATTGCTGCTCGGTGACATCCACAGGTGTTTTCAATACCTGATGGAAAGCACCTGTATGAACCTCTGTTCTTCAGAGTGGTAGTCTTTAAGGGGTTGAATAATTGTGGCAATGAAGAAACCACATAAGAACCATTTACTACTGTATTACATAAACAATTGATGTCATTTTAGTTGCATTTGGGTAGTTACAACGTCCTTGTAGGATTTGATTCTGAATACAATTCCAAATGTACACTATAGTCCCTAAACCCCTTTACAGCATTGGGGGTTGAATAATTTTGGCCACAACTGTAAATATATGGATTCCTCAGTCCACAGTGAAATATCAGACGTTGTAGGTGCAATCCGGTCTCCCGTTGTGATAATATGAATAGATTGCCTACTCACCAGAAACCCAGTAATAAACGCATATCTGTATCACATGCATCCTAGGATCTTGAATAAAGACAGCCCGGAAATGAAATCCTCTGATGGACCCTCAGTGGTGAAAGAAAGGATACCGATCTGATCTCCAAGTATTTACTTCATCAAGTCTGCAGCAATACCTAAATCACTGGGGCTGAGACATGGAGGCTCAGTGCCAGATATGGAGAATAAAGGTGCTCATAGTGTAGTATTTAAAACTATAAATTTATTACATTAAAATCTGAGCAGAAATACATACATGAATGACTGTATATAGTATGAAACTGCTATGAGCAGTAAAAGCACCCAAAAACACTGACCAGTATACATCTAATGTGGGCCGCCGGACCTCCTGATCCGGCGGCGTAGCGCCAAAGCCTGCAGGGGCTCCTCCTAGACGCGTTTTGTGTAAACACACATCTGCAGTACGGGTGATGCCATGCACGCCGGACGCCATATTAGCCCTATATATAGGATAGAAAAATGCATAATCCAGCCGGCGCCATTTTGCCGTAGACCGGCATATTGAGCATGTGCGGGTGCCATTTTGCCGGTGATTTCCGGGTTGCTAAAAATGGCCGCTGTATGTCCCACTGCACATGTGCCGGCGCCATTTTCTTGGTTAGAAGCTCCAGTGTCCTAACCCTAGAGTTGCCAGAGAACTTTAAACCCTCAAACACGGCCGTACGGTCACCGATCTTACTACTGGGGGTGACACCCAAAATATGAGGACCCATTCCAGTGTCCTAGCAAAACCGGCCAAAAAGCAAAACATCAATACAACAAAAACTCATGTGCTCCATACATCTCTTATGTGACTAATAAGATATAGAGGCACCACCTAGTGTTCTATCTGGGAATAGTCATAGGTCAAACTTTAAATTAAAATTATAATTATAATAACCCATTAAATGGATATGACAGTAATATCCGTTCTGAATATAATACTGTGCATAGATAAAAAATGCGGCTGCTAATTTACTGAAATACCTTACTGGTTTCGGTACAGATTCTAGTTCAGTAATCTGCTCCAAAACCTGGCACATTTAAAGCGGCGGTAATGTATATTTAAAATACTCTATTATAACTACAAAATTAGTATAACAGTCAGAGGTACAAGAAAATTACATTACACATCCCAAAGCATCCAATAATAAAAATTAAAATTAAAATTAAAACAAAATTAAAATTAAAAATAAAGTAATGTCCCTGTCAGATGGGTAGTACAAATGTTTCAATGATATGTGTGGTCAACTATTGTCAATGAAACAATTAAGGTCCACTTCCACATTCAGGCCGCGCGGGGTCAGGGATTTCATTTCAAAAATCCACTTTGTTTTCCAGACGTGAAACCTGTCTGGTATTATTAGAACCACGCCAATGATGTTGTGCCACGTCAATTCCTGTAAATTTAAGAGAAGATGGATCCCTATGATGAAAATCCCTATAGTGCTTAGATAAGGAATGTTCTCGGAAGCCCCTTTTAATATTGTACACATGATCTCTAAGCCTGTCACGGAGTCTCCTCGTTGTTCTACCTATATACTGTTTTTGGCACGGGCATTCTAGAAGATACACCACGTGTCGTGTATTACAAGAAATAAAAGAAGTTATCTCATAATCTTTACCGGTTACAGTAGAGGAGAAGGACTCAATTTTCCTCTTCGACATTTTACTATGTCTACATAATTGACATTTCTTACAAGGGAAGAAACCCTTAAAATTCCCGAAAAAGACTGGGCGTACGGGGGGATCCATAATGTTTGGGGCAATGGTATTACGTAATGTTAAGGCTTTCCTGAAAACAACTTCTGGTTTTTGAGGGAGAACTTTCGAAAGAATCGGATCCGCTCTAAGTATTTCCCAATGCTTCTTCACAATATGACGTATAGTTTTATGCTGTATTGAATAGGGGGTAATGAACGGGCAGAACATTTCCTTTTTCTGTTTAGGTGGTCCAGAGAGTATATCATGCCTATCCAAATTAGCTACTATGTTGATGTCTCGATCTAAGGAGTCAGCCAAATAGCCTTTATCCAAAAATCTCTGTTTGAGAATTTGTGCCTTCTCATAGTAAGTCCCATTTTCAGTACAATTACGTCTTAGCCTCATAAATTGGCTTTTGGGAATGCCAGCTAGCCATTTCGGATGATGACAGCTGTCCATAGGGATGTACCCGTTTCTATCTGACGGCTTGAAATATGCTTCAGTAATACATTTACCTCCTATGTTAATGATGGTAATATCCAAAAAATTCACACATTCAGAGCTATATTCGTATGCGAGTTTAATGTTCTGACTGTTATTGTTGAGTGTGCCAAAAAAAAAATAAGGGCTGTTTCTTCCCCCTGCCATACTAGGAGGACATCGTCTATATACCTTTCATAGAATACCAATTCTGGCCACTCCCTGGAATAGACGATATCCTCCTCCCACCTGGCCATAAACAGATTGGCCAGGCTGGGAGCGAATTTCGCTCCCATTGCAACGCCTCTGGTTTGTAGGTAGAACTTATTGTCAAACCAGAAGTAGTTGTTACTCATGGCAAAATTCAGAAGGTTCAGAATGAATGTCTTATGCATATTGGAGATATTATTAGTAAGATTAAGGTAATACTTAGCCGCTGACATACCATCACTATGATCGATGTTACTGTACAGTGATGCCACATCCGCTGTTACCAAAAATGTGGTAAGTGTGGGATCCCAACTAAGCGTACTGATATCATTCAATACCTGCTTAGTGTCTCTGATATAAGAGGGAGTATTTTGAACTAGCGGCTGCAGAAAATGGTCTATATATTCCCCAGCTCTAGAGCAAAGGGACCCAATGCCGCTTATTATAGGTCTGCTGGGGGGATGTACAGGATCCTTGTGGATCTTGGGGAGATAATAGAATACCGGTAGCCTAGGCGCCTTAGGGCATAAATATTCCTTCTCCCTGGTGTTTATTACGTGTTGTTCATATGCGTTTTTAATAAGGTGGCAAACACAGGGCAAAGTCTCGGCATTGCTGAAGGTTGGTTTTACTACCATATTGTGAATAGACTTGAATATCTGGAGATAGAATCATACACACATAAATGACATAATGTGAACATTTACATTTGATTCTAAGGAGAAAAGTTTTTTTTTTTGTTTTTTTTAAATCTTTATGCATTTTTTGTAATAAAATGAAAAAAAAAAAAAATTTCCAATTCCAATCAACCCCCTTCCCCCCCATTGGCTATTGGCTCCTGCTGCTGTCTGTAACATCCAGTGGGGAAGGAGCAGGGGGCATGGCTGAGCTGTGCTACATCTATGGACACACACAGGCTGGCTTGGGAGCCACATCACACGTGTTTCCTCATAGCATCAGGCATGTTATGGGGCACATGCAGGTGAAGAGGCGCTGACAGTGCTGCCAAGGAACCCCAGAAGAAAAGGTAAGGGACCACTCTGTGCAATACCATTGTACAGAGCTGGTAAGTATAATAGGTTTATCACTTTAAATATATTCTGTATGTGTGTGCGATAAAGGGAGAAAAAATGGAGAGCAAGAGAGACATAAAATCATCACGGTTTCCCTTTTATCTGAGGCTTCTGTGTATTTGTATTTTTCCAGGTTCGGGCACCAATGCTTAACCAAGCGCTGGGTATTCATGAAGTGGACATGTTCAAACCATCCTCTACTCTGGTCAGCTTTGTCTACCCTGCACAGAACCCAGATCTGCTGAACAAATTGTCAGAGAGGAAAACAACGGTCTTGGCCATGGACCAGGTGCCACGTGTAACCATCGCCCAGGGATACGATGCTCTGAGCTCCATGGCAAACATTGCTGGGTGAGGATCCTTTCATGTTGTGACCTAGACTTTGATCAAATAATGTCAACGTGGGGCCGTGATAGAGCGATCAGCTGCTTTAGCCTAGACTGCTATGTTGTAATGGTTCAACTTTGCCCTCTTTTTTTTTTTAGTTTGAAATTAATTGAGTTCAACAGTAATCCATTGATGTTAATTCAAAATATATGTTGTATATGTACTTTTTGCTCTTATGTGTACATCTTTCTTTTATTTTTGTTCACTAAGGCCCCTTTCACATGGTGGGTCCAATCAGTTTTGCCTGTCAGTTTTTCAGGCGGATCTGATTGGATGGTCCATTCACCCTATGGACAGTCGGCTGTAAAGGGACTGGTGTCCTTTTATACCTGCCTACGTCCATGTCTGTTCCAGTCCATTAAAAAAAACCCCCAGAAAACCAGAACGGGATCCGTCCTCTTCCATTTAAGTGGAATGGATCAGAGGGTAGTTGGGGTAAACAAACAGCGACTATTTACATCCAGCCACCGATATAGCAGAGCGGGCTCTGTTGGTGTTGGCTCTGCAGAAACTGAGTAGACACATACAGTTGCAAGAAAAAGTATGTGAACCCCTTGGGATTACGTGGAGTTTTGCATGAATTGGGTAAAATGTGCTCTGAACGTCATCTAAGTCACAACAATAGAAGAACACAGTCTGCTGAACATAATCACACAAACATTAGATGTTGCCATGGTTTAATTGCACATAACATGTAAACATTCACAGTGCAGGGAGGAAAAAGTATGTGAACATTTGGACTTAATAACTGGTTGACCCTCCTTTGGCAGCAATAACCTCAACCAAACGTTTCCTGTAGTTGCAGATCAGACCTGCACAATGATCTGGAGTAATTCTGGACCACTCCTCTTCACAAAACTGTTTCAGTGTAGCAATATTCTTTGGATGTCTGGTGTGAATCGCTCTCTTAAGGTCATGCCACAGCATTTCAATCGGGTTGAGGTCAGGACTCTGACTGGGCCACTCCAGAAGGTGTATTCTGTGCTGTTGCAGCCATTGTTTTGTTGAATTACTTGTATGCTTTGGGTCATTGTCCTGTTGCATCATCCATCCTCTGCGGAACTTCAGTTGGCGGACAGATGGTCGTGCGTTTTCCTGCAAAATGTCTTGATAAACTCTGGAATTCATTTTCCCATCAATGACAACAATCCGCCAGGCCCTGAGGCAGCAAAGCAGCCCCAAACCATGATGCTGCCTCTGCCATGTTTTACAGTGGGGATGAGGTTTTGATGTTGGTGTGCTGTGCCTTTTTTTCTCCACACATAGTGTTGTTTTGTTCTTCCCAAACAACTCAATCTTGGTTTCATCTGTCCCAGTATATTTTGCCAGTAGTGCTGTGGAACATCCAGGTGCTCTTTTGCAAACTTCAAACATGCTGCAATATTCTTTTTGGACAGCAATGGCTTCCTCCGTGGTATCCTCCCATGTACTCCATTCTTGTTTAATGTTTTCCTTATTGTAGATGTGTCAACAAAAATGTTAGCATGTGCCAGAGATTTCTGTAGGTCTTTAGCTGACACTCTGGGATTCTTCTTTACCTCATGCAGCATTCTGCGCTGTGCTCTTGCAGTCATTTTTACAGGACGACCACGCCTAGGGAGAGTAGCAACAGTGCTAAACTTTCTCCAGTAGACAGTCTGTCTTACCGTGGACACATGAGCATCAAGGCTTTTGGAGATACTTTTGTAACCCTTTCCAGCTTCATGCAAGTCAACAATTCTTGATCGTAGGTCTTCTGAGAGCTCTTTTCTGCGAGACATGGTTCACATCAGACAGTGCTTCTTGAAACCAGTAAACCCAAAACAGGTGTGTGTTTTTTTAAGGGCAGAACAGCTGTCAGCAACACATCCAATATCATCACACTGATTGGAGTCAAGGTTGGCTCATCCTGGCTCATTAGCTCTGGGAGAAGTCATTAAGCTAGGACCTCACATACTTTTTCCTCCCTGCACTGTGAATGTTTACATGTTATGTGCAATTAACCATGGCAGCATCTAATGTTTGTGTAGTATTATGTTTAGCAGACTGTGTTCTTCTATTGTTGTGACTTAGATGACTTTCAGAGCACATTTTATGCCCAATTCATGCAAAACTCCACGTAATCCCAAGGGGTTCACATACTTTTTCTTTGCAACTGTATGTGTCATCCGCTCACTATGTCATCCGCTCACTATGCTCCGATCAGCTGGGGATCTGTTAGCTCACTATGTCATCCGCTCACTATGCTCTGATCAGCTGGGATCTGTTAGCGGATCCCCTGCTGATCGGGACAGAGAGTGTCCCATGTGAAAGGGGCCTAATACTGTTGGATAGTTATCCATTGCCCAGTGGCCTTTTCCTATGTTTACTTTTTTGTAGACAATTGCATAAAGTATGCATGGACATGTAGTTGTAGCACATTGTTTGAGAAAAAGCAGTCCTTTATAGGCATTCTTGTATGGAAAGCTGCAGTGTCTGCATCCCTTTTGAAAAAGGACACACTATGGACAGTAGATTTCTGGGGACATTCTTTAACACCTACAGGTTGATATATGCCACAGAAGCAACATTATTTGACAGCTTAAAAAATTTACAAAGAAAAGAACTTTTATTATCATTAAAGCTGAACTCCAGGATAAGCAAATATTGTCTGAATACAAGAGCCATATGTATTCTTGCTTGCGTGCTTGGTGTATTTCTTCCAGATCTGTGCATTAATCCAGTGTAAAATATTGTCTCTGAGGAGCTTCCTGTAATTAAGATCTGTCACGGCTGCTCTCTCTCCTTAAGCAGGGTGATTGGTCTTGTTTCCTTCTGTAGCTTTCTGCTCTGCTGTCTGCACAGGGTATGTACAGCACAGTGGCATCAATGCTACTATTACAAGATAATATCTGGGTTTGGAAAAGCATATGGTACACACACACACAGTGGATATTTTAGCACAGTTGAGAAATATACTTTTAAAGGTTTTTTTTTTTTTTTTGCCCAGTTTTCAAATTGAAATAAAATGTGTAGTTATTATATATGTTAACTTAATTTTGTAACGTGAAAAAAAAAGTGGAAACATCGCTTAGATGTTTTCTATTTGCTTCACTTTACCTATGTCCTGTCCAGTTTTCTCTCTAGAGAAAATTAAAGTGAAGCCCTAAGCAAACAACTAAATAGATGAAATAAAAATATCTTATGCAGTACAGGACACAATGTATGTATTCATAGACCATGAGTTATTTTCAGGCTACCTGCAAGTAATTGGTGGTCAGTGGAACTTAGCCCCTCTGTGCTGGTGGTCAATGGAGCTTTGCCCCTCTGTGCTGGTGGTAAGTGGAACTTTGCCCCTCTGTGCTGGTGGTCAGTGGGACTTTTCCCCTCTGTGCTGGTAGTCAGTGGAACTTTTCCCCTCTGTGCGGGTGGTCAGTGGAACTTTGCCCCTCTGTGCTGGTGGTCAGTGGAACTTTGCCCCTCTGTGCTGGTGGTCAGTGGAACTTTGCCCCTCTGTGCTGGTGGTCAGTGGAACTTTGCCCCTCTGTGCTGGTGGTCAGTGGAACTTTGCCCCTCTGTGCTGGTGGTCAGTGGAACTTTGCCCCTCTGTGCTGGTTGGCAGTGGAACTTTGCCCTCTTGCTATTTGTATCATTAAAAGCTCTGTTGTTGTGTTTTTCTTTTAAGACAAAAGATGTTAATGTATGAGTTGTTTTTTCTAAACTAAAACCATAGTATTCAGGTTTAATCGCAGAGTTGGCACTTTGCGAATAATAAATGGGTTTTGGGTTGCAGTTTGGGCATTCAGTCTCTAAAAGGTTTGAGAACACTGCCATATATCAAGGTGTGCATAATTATTAGGCAGCTTCTTTTCTTCAGGCAAAATGGGCCAAAAAGAAATTTTACTGACTCTGAAAAGTCAAAAATTGTTAAATGTCTTTCAGAGGGATGCAACACGCTTAATATTGCTAAGATATTGGTGTGTGATCACAGAACCATCAAACGTTTTGGTGAAAATAGTCAACAAGGTCATTAGAAATATGTTGAGAAAAAAAGACTCAAATTAATTGCCAAAGTTTTGAGAAGAATCAAACATTAATCTACCAGGGACCCATTATCCTCAAGTGCTGTCATATTCCAGAACTGCAACCTACCTGGAGTGCCCAGAAGTACAAGGTGTCCAGTGCTCAGAGACATGGCCAAGGTAAGGAAGGCTGAAACCCGACCACTGCTGAACAAGACACATAAGTTGAAACGTCAAGACTGGGCCAAGAAATATCTGAAGACAGATTTTTCTAAAGTTTTATGGACTGATGAGATGAGTGACTGGATGGTCCCATGGCTGGATCAGTAACTGCCACAGAGCTCCACTTCTACTCAGATGCCAGCAAGGTAGAGGTGTGGGGCTGGTATGGGCTGGTATTATCAAGAATGAGCAAGTTGGACTTTTTCGGGTTGACGATGGACTCAAAATCAGCTCCCAAACCTACTGCCAGTTTTTAGAGGACACTTTCTTCAATCAGTGGTACAGGAAAATGTCTGCATCTTTCAAGAAGACCATGATATTTATGCAGGACAATGCTTCATCACATGCATCAAAGTACTCCACTGCTTGACCAGCCAGTAAAAGTCTGAAAGATGAAAGAAAAATACCATGTCTCCCTTCCTCACCTGACCTAAACCTTATTGAGAACTTGTGAGCCCTTCTTAAATGGGAGATTTATGGTGAAGGAAAACAGTAAACCTCTCTGAACATTGTCTGGGAGGCTGTGGTTGATGCTGCACAAAAAGTTGATTGTCAACAGATCCAAAAACTTAGTCTCCATGAATGGAAGGCTTATGACTTATTGAAAAGAAGGGTTGATATATTGTTCACTGATTTTTTTTTTTTTTTTTTTTTAAATGTCAGGCATGTTTATTTGTAAATTTTGAGTCGTTGGTTTATTATTCTCACTTGAACAGTTGAAAATAAACAAGTAAGATGGGAAGATTTTTGTTTTTCCTTTAGTTGCATAATAATTCTGCATACTAATAGTTGCCCAATAATTGTGCACACATAGATATTCTCCTAAGAAAGCCAAAACCTCACTTTTTTACTTTTCCTAAATATTCAGGTTTGAGGTTTATTAACATTTTGGATTGGCCGAGAGCACTGTAGTTCTTTAACCATTTGCCTACCAGGCACTTATACCCTCATGCTGCCCAGGCCAATTTTCAGCTTTCAGCGCTGTTGCACTTCGAGTGACAATGCAACACTGCACCCACATGAAATTTTTATTTTTTTTTTCCCCACCCAAATAGAGCTTTCTTTTGGTGGTATGTACTCGCTGCTGGGTGTTTTTTTTATTTTTTGTGCTATAAACAAAAAAAGAGCAGAAATATTGAAAGAACAATTTTTTTTTTATTTGTTTCTATTATAAAATTTTGCAAACAGGTAATTTTTCTCCTTCACTGATGTGTGTTGATGAGGCTGCACTGATAGGCAGCACTGATAGGTGGCACTGATGAGCTGGCACTGAAATGCAACAATGATGGGCACTGATAGGCGGCACTGATGAGTTGTCACTGATATGCAACAATGATGAGCACTGATAGGCAGCACTGCTGGGTGGCACTGACTGGTGGCACTGCTGAGCACTAATGGGTGACACTGCTGGGGAGCACTGATGGGCGGCACTGATGGGCACTGCTGGGCACAGATGGGCAGCACTGGTGGGTGGCACTGTTGGGCACCGATCATCAGGGTACTGATCAACAGTGTCCTGATGATCGGTGCCGATCCCTCCTCTGACAATTGCCGGTTATCTGCAGTACTTATCTAACGCTGCATTTACCAGACTGTCACCTACCCTCATCACCTTCAGGCGCACCCTGAAGACCCACCTCTTCAGGGAAGCCTACCCCACCCTCACCTAACAGCTGACCTCCTCCACTCCTCCCACCACTCCATCCCCCACAGCCATTTCCTCCTGTACCACTTTCCCCTCCGTCCTAGATTGTAAGCTCGAAAGAGCAGGGCCCCCGAACCCCTCGTGTATTGTATTGTTACTGTCTTGTCTCATGTTCTGTCCCCCTTGCTATTGTACAAACCCTTTGGCGCTATATAAATACTGTATAATAATAATTATAATTTACCGGTGATCTGCTGTGTCATTGGACATGGCTGATCACGTGATAAAAGGCCGCTGTGATTGGCTTCTTACCACATCACGTGATCAATGTGTCCGTAGGACACAGCGATCATGGAGATCGCCAGTGTGCTCGCCCCCGGGGACGCGCAGAAGGGCGCGTTTTGGGAGGACATCTTATGACGCCCTCCCAGAACTGGCCGGCTGCAGTGAAGCTGTAATTTGGCTATCTGTGGTTGACAAGTGATTAATAATGAAATGAATCCTCCAAAATACAATTTGCTTAACAATTGTGCACACAGTGTATCTTTTGGAGGTTTTGGGGCAGCACTGCATTATGTGTCTTTGTTTTTGTTATGAGTGGAGGTTTGTGGTACGCTTGATAGTGCAAGCGGCAGCAGAGATATAGCTATATACCTTTGTTCATTATTGATTGCACAAGAGTTTTTATATAATGTCCCTTTATTTTTTGGATCGGTTCCTTTTTTTTTTTTTAGACAGCCTGCAGTGCTTCGCACACAATGTAGATAAATTGAGGAATGGGAGCAAAGTTGTTTTACTGTGGTACTCCCTGTTGTGATCAACTTTACCTCCCTAGCGGTATTCCCGAGTGTAGCTCGGGGTAAAGTTTCTGTACCAAAAGCGGTAACCCTCGAGCTACACTCGGGCTTACCATGCGGCGCTGCATAGGGAGTCCCTGCAGAGCTTACCTTATGCTTCGCTCCCGCGATGTGTCCCCTGCAGCGTCCCCGGCCATCTCCTCCGGCTGATGGCGGCATCCGGCTTCTGTGTTCCAGTCCCTGTGACGTCGGGACGCATGGGCGCCGCCGCCGGCGGGAAATTTGAAAATTTAAAAAAAATGTAATTGTTTTCGAAACGAATTTTACATAGTAAAACATTGCTGTTTCAAACCATTTCACATACATTTTGTCCCTACTGCTTTGTCCTGTCCCCTGTCTGCATTTTGACTGTTCTTTCTGCCTGGAAAAGTCCATGGCATCCAAAAAGCGTCCCTTTAGGTCAAAAGCGGGTTTAGATCAGCTAGAGAACAGCGATAGTAAATTAGAACCACTTGCAGAATTGAGTGATAATGATTCGTGGAGAAATTCGTCATCAGACACTGAAAAAGATTTTGCGACTTTGCTCAGTGATGTGCGAACTTGGCGCTATATTTCAAATTTCAGTGTTTTTGGTTTGATTATATTATTGAATTAAGTGTATTATTATTATATTATTATTTTTTATGATTATTTATTAAATTATAATTTACGATTTTGTGTTTCAAATTTTATCATACCCGGGATGTTTAATAGACTCTTGTTCGGACAGATTTCAGTGAGTTATTCCTAAATATTACAGCCTACAATAAAAAAACTACATATTTCCATGCAAAATAATGGTACCGCTTTCAGCACCAAAAATCTGAAATAATCAGACCGCTAGGGAGGTTAATGTTTATGGCACAATAAAGATTATCTGCTTTATTTTGTGGGTTTTTTCCATCCGGACTTTGGCTCAGGATGAGGATGTTGTTTCTACACACTTCCTGACTGGCGCACATCTGCCAAAAAGACACATAGCATGTTTGCTGTACTTCCTACTGCCTTCTTCTACAGAGACACGGTCACAGAAAACACAGTCAGAGCCTGGGTCACTGCGGCTCCTTTATTCTGGACACTTCCACCTCTGATTCTGTTCATGAATCAGAAATGGAGCCTCCAAATCTTTCTGATGAGAAAACAGAGAAAAGCAATGGCACACAGATTTGTGTGATGACGCTCTAGAAAACGGAATTCGCCAATTTCTAGGATGTCTCTAATCTTTGCACAGGATTACGTGGTTAAAAGCTGAACCTGCTTATGGAATAGATTGTAAGCTCTAATGAGCCTGGCCCTCTGTTTCCTCTTGTACCAAATTGTATTGTAACGGTAATGTCTACCTTCATTTTGTAAAGCGCTGCGCAAACTGTTGGCGCTAAATAAATCCTGTATAATAATAATAATAATAATGGACGGTGCCTTAAATGCCTGCCTTTTTAAACTGAGCGCTTATTTGAAGAATACCTTGATCTATTGCTCTAGGAAGTCACTCGGTAAAGGTGCTGTTTACCCAGAAGAAAAATGCCTTTCACACGGGCATTCCGTTTGCCTGTTTTTTTTTTTCATCCATCTGTTGATGGATAAAAAATGGACATCAATGTATCTCTATGGGCAAGCGGATGAAATGTGTGCTGCTGAGCTTCTTTAAAGTGTTACTAAACCCACAACAGTAAAATCAGTCTGTATATGCAGTAAGAACTGGTGTCAAAGTGGAGGCCCTCCAGCTGTTGCCAAACTACAAGTCCCATGAGGCATTGCAAGATTGACAGTTACAAGCATGACTCCCAAAGGTAGAGGCATGATGGGACTTGTAGTTTTGCAACAGCTGGAGGACTGCCAGTTTGACACCTCTGCAGTAAAGCATGCTTGTTATACTAACTGGAACCTAAGGGGTTAATCCTATGGATTGCGTAAAAAGGCTGTTTGAGCTTGACTTTTCTGCCCCTTCTCTTGTTCAAATGTCTGCGCTGATAAGACAGACTGAACCCATAGTCCTTCTGCACATGCTCAGTTTGGTGTGTATTGCTAGAGAGCTTTTTTTTTTTTCTTGGTACGGTGCATGTGATGAGCACAGGGCCAATCAGCACTATCCAAACAGAGGGTCAGGGGTTTTGCATCCTCCTAGAGCAAAAAGAAAACTCCTACAAGCTTTAACCAGTGCTCAGCTGTCATCATAAGACTGCTCTAACTGCTGATGAGAAAAGGTATTTAGCAGTTTATATTTACTAAAATACAGTAATACCTTGGTTAATGTAATTTTTGGTTTACGAATGAAAATCCATTGAAAATAATGCCTCGGTTTATGATCTTTTAACTAATTTTTTTCACAATACGAAGCGTATGTTGGTGCTGATTTTTAAATGCAATTGCCAGCTTTTTTTTTTTCTTCACTATAGCTCACAGAATTAGCTGTCACTTTCCCCAGAGTTAACGGAAACTTTGTTTCTTTTAAGAAACTGAAAGGAAACATTGTTTCTCTTCACTCTGGGAAATAAACTAAAAGAAAACTTTCTTTCTGTTAGCTGGGGGGAAAGTGACAGCTGAATTTCTGAGCTACAGTGAAGAAAAAAAAAAAGCAGTATTTACATTTAAAATCCGGCACCATAATAGATCCCGGCTCCCCTCCTGTGTGAATGCGTATGGGGTACATGGTACCCCTACTCATTCACAAAAAATAAAAAGTGTAGTGTGAAAAAAGACAGGACACGGTTTTTGACAAGTCCTTTATTAAAAGAAAAAACTAAAAGAATGTCCCCTGAAGTAGATCCAACGTTAATCATGCTGCCCGCCATCGCCGACCCGAAAAAAGAGTAAAAAAAAAAAAAAAACTCTCCACTCCTGACGATGCTTCCAGCTTTCTGCCTGCTCCAGTGGTTTGATAGTTCTTAAATATGTAAGGGGGCAGGGCCACCCGGGGACATCAAGCATCTGACCCCGCCCCATGTGACATCAGTCGGTTTACGAATTGTTCGCTATACGAAAAGTCCTGCAGAACGAATTAAATTCATAAACCAAGGTATTACTGTAATTGCATTTCCATGTTCAGTGTACTGTGTGAGACCAGATATGGTGAATGCAGGGTCCTGGGTTTAGTAACACTTTAAGTATTGCATTTTATAGCTGTTGAGAGTTCAGCTTTAAGGTTCATGAAGCATTACTTTGGCTGAGGAGCAAACATGTGGGTTAATTTGGAAGCTTTCCATATGGGCTGACACTTGGCATAGCCTTGGCGGGCTGTAACGGTTGACCCCATTATGAGGGAGAGGCAGAGTCGGCCTGTAGTGTGCCCGGTGGACCCTGCTTTAGGCTCTGTCCTAGACTCACTTGGTGTAGCATTAGCCACGGAGTGATTTACAGGTCTAGGCTGTGGTTCACCCTGGTGGAAGTATACTCTCTGGGAGGGCAATGTGTAGCTGGATGGGGGTATGTTCCCTGGATCCCTCCTAACCATCCTTGAAGTTTTGTATTTGCAGGGAATCGTGGGCCTTCAGACCACTGCTGTCCTTATAGCGTTGTTTGTCAGTGTCCAGTAGACAGCAGCATAACCCAATATATCTCCTGTGTCCATTTAATGTACTCCAAGAAAAGGACTGCAATTGAAAAATCCTTTTATTCTGCCTGATCCTTCAAATATCAAGCAGTAGGAATAAACGGTACAGTTGCATGTTAACGGCATATAACTAGCATATGGTCATAGTATGACTGCTTTTCTTAAACATCTGGATCTACTTGTACCAATAGATTTTTTTTTTTTCTTCATCATCTGGAGGAGAATGATTTTTCTGAGGGAGCGTGCTTTAATCACTGTATCCTCCCACCCCACTTTCCAAGCGCTGTAACATTTTTTTTCTTCAGAGGGCCATGAGAGACGCAAATATTGATATGTTAATACATTGTGGGTATTAGGGCTCATGTACACTGCAGCTGATAAACTCACGTTTAGGAGCTGTTCAGCGTTTTTTTTTTTTTTTCAGCAGCCCCTGAACTCACCCTAATCTTTTCCTATGTGTCCATGTACACATCTTCGATTACAGTCGTTTACAGGCATTTGAGCTTACAGTCGTTTTTTTGAACGCAGAAAACTTACGTTCAGCAGTCAATTTTGTCAGCGTTTCAAATGCAAAGTGCTTGTAAACATGGCAAATCGCATTTATAAGCGTTTGCCATTTTTTTTTTAACTCTTCCAGTTCCCGATGCTGTCGAGAGCCATTTTTCATCATGAAAAATACATGCAAAGCATTCATCATGGATGCTAAAAAATACATGCAAAGCATTTTCAAGATAATCAAATGGACAAAACACTGAACACAGGATGTTTACCAAGCTTGTCACACATTGTAATGACCAACTCACACCTCAGACCTCTCCCACCCTTGGAAACAAAAGATATATGTTAATGCCCATTCACACCTCAAATTCCTCAGGAAGACCCCCTGCCAGGTGGCCTTAAAGACTCACTCCACCAGACACCTTTTCCACCCTTGGAAACAAAAGAAATGTTAATGAGCAACTCACACCTAGCTAATCTCAACACATACTGCTGTCTCTGCTTCTACTGTGTGTATTTCTCTGAAACAGTCTGAAATAGTTAATAATTTACCACTTTTCAGTGCATTCTGGGCATTTGGGAGGTTCTCCTGTGCTTATCTTTAAAAAACGCTTCTAAACGCAAACACGGCTAAACAGACGTTTTTTAACCTACGTTTTTCAGTAGTCAGTTTCCATCTTTCATAATTGTCCCATGTACATGGGGCCTTAGGCGACAGTAGTTAGTTGTCTGTGCTTTCCCAAACTCACAAGTTTCTATAAGTTTGGTAGTAAGTTCTGCATCATTGCAGTCATTTCTACCTCTATACATGATAACCTTTATGGAAATTTGTAAATTATCAGTGAAATTCTTTGCACCTTAAAATGGACCTGTTTATACTTAAAGCTAAACTCCGGGCAAAAGATTTTTGCATGCACTGCACGGGTCAACTGCTCATTTTGTCTAGGAGTGAGCAGAAAGCTTATACTCGCCAGATCCTTCAAACCTCTGGAAAACGGCGCTCCCCCATGGCCCAGTGGTGGACTGTTCCTGGTCTATAGAGACTGCTCTCTGAGCATGATGACTTCAGGAGCAGTACAGAACTCAAGACTGCTGGAGCATGGGGGAGCCAGACTAGTCTTGTGCTGGGAGGATTGGAGGATTAGGTAAGTATATTTCCGCTCTCCTTCCACCTATAAATAAAAAAACACCAAGCAGTTAACCCATGGAGTTGCAGGCTCAGCCCTACTGCATGGGAAAAAACATATTGGCCCAGTGTTGGGCTTTAAAATTTAAATGGCTAGAAACTAAAAAAATTCCTTAAAACTGCCTGTTTTCTTTTGTTGTGAGTGCATGCTTTTCAAAGTTCAATTGTGCTCATTGTGAAATAATTACAAATTACTTACTGTAATGGAACTGTAAACACCGCGGTCTACAGTAACTTTATGTATTCACAAACTGTGTATAGTTCTCAGTTGGCATCAAGCAAAATGTGAACATCCTGCATTGAATGCCCACTGCATCAAAGCGTATCCTGCAAAAGCCTGCGCTTGCAAAATATTACAAAACGAACACGTGAATGTGTGTTTTTTTTTTTTGTCCCTCCATACTTTTTATCCAATTTGAGTTTGTCTAGAAAAGTGGATTATCATTGTCTGATTAAAGCTGAATTCTATGTAAATGATAAAATAATGTAGCTTTGTACTCACTCATTATTAAATCAGTAAGCCAGTAAAGTACCTACATTTGCAGTGATATCTGATTCTTGCAATCCCTGTACAGCAGGGCTAGAATGTGAGAGAAAGAAGCAGTGCAAGTAGCCAGTCAGTTTATTTGCGAAGATAAAGATGCTGATAGGAAGATAAAGCAAAGTGACAGAGAAATTAGCTCATAGATACATACCGTATTTTCCGGCGTATAAGACGACTTTTTACCCCTTGAAAATCTTCTCAAAAGTTGGGGGTCGTCTTATATGCCGGTAACGGCATGCTGACACTTTTTAGGGGGGCGGCGCGGTGCTGCCGCCCCCCCCCTTCCAGCAGAAGGGAAACTAAGTACAGGGGTGGGCAGAGGGCTGCTGTCTCTTACCTGGCTCCGGTCCCACGACGATCCAGTCCAGGAAGCGCGGCTGCTCCTTCCTTCGGTTCGTCCACTGGATGTTCGTGCGGCTGCTCGGCTCCGCCTCCTCACCGGTGATTGGCCGCCAGAACTGTAGCTCAGGAATGGCACACAGGCGGCCAATCGCCGGCGAGGAGGCGGAGCTGAGCGGCCCCGCGTAAAATCGAGTGGAGATGCAGGTAAGTGTGCTGTGCTTAGGTGCTGCTGCAACCACATATGCTGGATGCAGCAGCACCGTATTGGAACAGGGGTCAGCAAGTGTCAGTGGGAGGAATAGTGCCCCATCGTTGGTGTCACTGATACCAATGATGGGGCATTATTCCTCCCACTGACACCAACGATGGGGCACTTTTCCTCCCCCCCCACTGACACCAACGATGGGTCACTATTCCTCCCCCCCCCCCCCACTGACACCAACGATTGGGCACTATTCCTCCCCCCCCCCACTGACACCAACGATGGGGCACTATTCCTCCCCCCCCCCCACTGACACCAACGATGGGGCACTATTCCACCCCCCACTGACACCAATGATGGGGCACTATTCCACCCCCACTGACACCAATGATGGGGCACTATTCCACCCCCCACTGACACCAATGATGGGATACTATTCCTCCCCCCCACTGACACCAAAGATGGGGCACTATTCCTCCCCCCCCACTGACACCAATGATGGGATACTATTCCTCCCACTGACACCAAAGATGGGGCACTATTCCACTGTCACCAATGATGGGGTGCTATTCCCCCCAATGATACTAATGATGGGGCACTATTCCTGCCACTGATACCAATGATGGGGCACTATTCCTCCCACTGACACCAATGATGGGACACTATTCCTCCCACTGATACCAATGATGGGGCACTATTCCTCCCACTGATACCAATGATGGGACACTATTCCTTCCACTGACACCAATGATGGGGCACTATTCCTGCCACTGATACTAATGATGGGGTGCTATTCCTCCCACTGACACCAATGATGGGGCACTATTCCTGCCACTGATACCAATGATGGGGCACTATTCCTGCCACTGATACTAATGATGGGGCACTATTCCTGCCACTGATACCAATGATGGGGCACTATTCCTCCCACTGACACCAATGATGGGGCACTATTCCTCCCACTGACACCAATGATGGGGCACTATTCCTCCCACTGACACCAATGATGGGGCACTATTCCTCCCACTGATACCAATGATGGGGCACTATTCCTCCCACTAATACCAATGATGGGGCACGATTCTTCCCACTGGTGTGCACTGGAAGAGGGGTAGTCTTATACGGCGAGTATAGCCGAAACACTACGATTTAAACAGGAAAAGTAGGGGGGTCGTCTTATACGCCGGAAAATACGGTAGTTAGTCTGGCTGAAAAAAGACAAAAGTCCATCCAGTTCAACCATTAAAAAAAAAAAGTTATAATCCTACACCCACAGTTAATCCAGAGGAAGGCAAAAAAAAACCCCCAGCAAAGCATGATCCAATTTGCTCCTGCAGGGGAAAAAATTCCTTCCTGATCCCCCGAGAGGTAATCGGATATTCCCTGGATCTACTTTACCTATAAATGTTAGTATCTAGTTATATTCTGTGCATCTAAGAAAGAATCCAGGCCTTTTTTGAAGCAATCCACTGAGCTGGCCAGAACCAACTCTTGAGGGAGTCTATTCCGCATTTTCACAGCTCTTACTGTGAAGAAACCTTTCCGTGTTTGGAGATGAAATTTAGTTTCCTCCAGATGTAAAGAGTGCCCCCTTGTCCTCTGTGATGACCTCAGGGTGAATAACTCTACACCGAGTTCACTATATGAACCACTGATGTATTTATACATGTTGATCATATCCCCCCTTAATCTCCTCTTCTCAGGAGAGAATAAATTCAGTTCCTCTAATCTTTCCTCATAGCTGATCTCCTCCATGCCTCTTATCAGTTTGGTTGCCCTTCTCTGTACTTTCTCCAGTTCCCCAATGTTATTTTGTGAATTGATGCCCAAAACTGAACTGTATCACTGTGCAGTTTTATATTATCACTATCCAGTCACAGACTGAGGCAAGCCCAGGATGACCTGGGCTCAGAGGAAGTGGGTTGAATGATACCTGGTCATTAGACTGAGCACATCTGATGGCAAAAAATGTACTGCGTGGAAAATCTCTGAATTGAATATGACCGCAAAAGCTGGTTTGTTATTTTATTTTTTAATGAGCTGTTCATTTTTATCTTCAGTTTTGGCTGGAGTTCTGCTTTATTATGCAAACAAATAGATACTGTGATTTACTATATTTGGCTTCTGTTTTGCCTTGCAGATACAAAGCTGTTGTTTTGGCTGCAAACAACTTTGGACGGTTTTTCACTGGACAAATTACAGCAGCAGGGAAAGTCCCACCAGCCAAGGTAAATAGAACCTCTTTCTTCTGTGAATGTTCTATGTGTTTTCTATAGCTTGAGCCATCAGGTGCTGCATGCCGGAAAGCCATTCAAGCCTATCGGGATGCAGTGGCTGCACGGACACAGCTGCTAGTTCTAATGTGACAGGCGTGCGGGAGCGGAGTCCCTAATGCCTGGCAACTGGGATGCTCAGAAAAGTAAATCGACAACTCCATATTTCCTTCAGTATAATTTGTACTTTTATTGAGCTCCAGTAGTATAGTTATTGTGACACTTCAGCCCTCTGACAGTAGACTTGTGGTTCTCCTACACAGCACAGCAGCCATCCTGTTATCACAGAACGCTTTGCACCTTGTGAACCCATATAAAAAATATATGGCATTCTATGAATGGAGAAGAGGAAAGGAGGGGTAGTCAGGATGGGACATGAGTCCTCTGTCGGAGCATGGGAAGTATAGCGATCTTTGACCTCTGGACAAGCATGTAGATATATATATATATATATATATATATATATATATATATATATATATATATATAATTTTTTTTTTTTTTTTTTGCATTAAAGGTGATTTTGCTGGGCAAATCTGGGGTATAAATACATTATTACTGGAAGAGAAACTCTAAGCCAACAGTTCAGTAATCGTATGTACATCAAAGGATTTATAATTCTGCTTAGTCAGTGCTGTGATTTGCACAGGTTACACATCTTAGTTCCTTATCAATTTTCCTTCCTTCCTCATTTAGCTTCCTGTGCTCCTTTTCTTCTCACTTTGTGTTGGACAATGAATCGGCATGCTCATATTCTGTCCAGGGAGCCAGGACCTAGTTGAGGAAACAGTAACATGAAACCTGAAAGTAGGAGAGTGATCTTGTCAATTGGCTAAACCTGGATCACCAGAATGGTCAGCTAAAATTGTGATGCAGCTCAGTGGCCTCCAAACTGTGGCCCGGGAGCAAGATGCGGTCCTTTGCTTGCCTTTATCCATCCCACTTTACCTCCTACTGATCCTAGGCACAATTCCTCCCACTGACACCAACAGTGGGGTGTAATGCCTTCCACTGACACCAACAATAGGGCACTCTTTCTCCCACCAATGCCAATGAAAGGGCATTATTGAAGCCAGGGCATTTTCTACTCTCACTGGCCACAGTCCAGACCCCACAAAATCTGAAGGACTGCAAACTGGCCCTGTGATTAGAAAGTTCAGAGACCCCTGTTTTAGCTAGTAAAACAGTATTGAAACGCAGCTGGGCAAAGTTGGGAGTTCCTGGACTAAAGAATCAATGGCTAATCTTTAAGTATTCCTTGTGTGCTATATAATGCAACAAAGATACAGTATGTCAGGCTGAAAAAAGCCCCGAGGGTAGGCTGTGCTATCTACATGTACAGTATTTCCAAGATTCATTTTTACATCTGATAAAAAGTTTAGTCCACCCTTTGAGAAGTGGGAGCGGGTACTTGTCAAAACCAGGTACCCACTCCATCACCCCTCAAAAAAGTGCCAAAAATACAAGAGGACAGCATAAAGCGGAATCTCCCCTTTAGGGTCAAGTTCTGCTTCAAGTACAAATAAATTTAATAAATGCATTTTTTTTTCTTTTATTAATGTGGCTGTGTGTGTTTTAAATTATTTATTCAGTTCTTTATGACATCACTTGACAAGATATAGTGTGGATAACAGAGATTATAGATCACACGGATGCACATCTTATATAGGTTATGTATAACAGTTGTAAGGACACAGATATACAAATATTGATAGAGCACAACACCAACTAAATTTGGAAAAGAATTTGGTATCATGCCTACTGTGTCGTCATCTACAGAACCACCACCTTTTATTCAAGGAACGGAGCTATCTTAACAAAGAAGGGATAGTGGGATTCCTGTATTATCCAAGAAGGGCGTGTAGTCAGGTATATGGCATAAAGAGGTCAAGAATGTAAGACAAAAGAGGAAAAAGGGGAGGGTAAGGGCAGAAAATGGAGAAAACATAACAAGGAAAAAGGGGGGGTGGGCAAGGGCAGAAAATGGAGAAAACATAAGGAAAGGGGGGGGGGGGGGGCAAGGGCAGAAAATGGAGAAAACATAACAAGGAAAAAGGGGGGGGGGGGGGCAAGGGCAGAAAATGGAGAAAACATAACAAGGAAAAAGAGGAGGGCAAGGGCAGAAAATGGAGAAAACATAACAAGGAAAAAGGGGGGGCAAGGGCAGAAAATGGAGAAAACATAACAAGGAAAAAGGGGGGGGGGGGCAAGGGCAGAAAATGGAGAAAACATAACAAGGAAAAAGAGGAGGGCAAGGGCAGAAAATGGAGAAAACATAACAAGGAAAAAGGGGGGGGGGGGGCAAGGGCAGAAAATGGAGAAAACATAACAAGGAAAAAGGGGAGGGCAAGGGCAGAAAATGGAGAAAACATAACAAGGAAAAAGGGGGGGGCAAGGGCAGAAAATAGAGAAAACATAACAAGGAAGGGGGGGGGGGGGGGGGGCAAGGGCAGAAAATAGAGAAAACATAGCAAGGAAAAAGGGGGGGCAAGGGCAGAAAATAGAGAGAACATAAGGAAAAAGGGGGGGGGGGGGGCAAGGGCAGAAAATGGAGAAAACATAACAAGGAAAAAGGGGGGGGGGGGGCAAGGGCAGAAAATAGAGAAAACATAACAAAGGGCAAGTAAGCAAAAGCAAATCCTTTCCCATCCATTGTATGGATACATGGACCATAACTTCAGGTTACCAAACCTGTCATTTCATGAGGAAGCAGGAAATTGTGGGTACGTTTTTTGTTTTGAAAGGTGAACTTTACCCTTTTATTTTATTTTGTTCACCAAATAGCATTTTCAGAAACCTGCGCTAGTTTATTTATTTATTTTTAAGACAGCAGGAAATTGTTCATGGCCAGTCTTTACTTTGACTAGTTTGGGACTCTTTCCAGTAAGCAATCCATGCATTCTGCCCCTTTATACCGTACAGGCGTACCTCGGTTTACGAATTTAATGTGTTCTCCGGGATGTTTCATATTGCGAAAAATTTGTAAACCGAAACACGGTTTCTCATAGGAATGCATTGAAAACCAATTAATCGGTTCCGGAGGTCAGAAAAAAGTAAAAAAAAGATTTATCTGTTCACAAAGTTTTATAAAGTACACTTTAAAGGCTTAAATACTGTACAAGGACATGATTAAAAATTAATTCATAAATGCAATGAAAACCAATTAATCTGATCCAGAGGTCATAAAAAAGTCAGTTTTATCTGTTCAAAACTCTTTATATAAAGTGCACTCTAAAGGCATAAATACTGTACAGGGATATGATTAAAAATTAATTAGTAAATGCATCAAAAACCAATTAATCCGTTCCGGAGGTCAGAAAAAAGTAAAAAAAAAGTTTTATCTGTTCAAAACGCTTTATAAAGTGCAGTTTAAAGGCATGGGGCCGGCTCTATAAACCTCCCAGGTGCAATGCATCCTGGGGAAACTTCATATTGCAAAAACAATTAGTAAACCGAGGCATTATTTTCAATGGATTTTCATTCATAAACCAAAAATTACGTTAACCGAGGCGTTCGTAAACCGAGGTACACCTGTATGTGAATTCATGTGTCCACTCTAGTGTTGTTAATGTAGCAGCCAGCAGATGGAGACATTGTACCTCTGAGCCATGGTAAACTTGGCAGTGATGTCCTTCCCATCATAACACAGCCACGTTTACTCTTTGCATTTCACGGTGTGCAGGATATTGTTCTGATCCAGATCTAGCATGTGAAATGGCACACCTGCTGCTGAGAGTAACATGAGCTGCTTTTATGTTCCGACTGGCCTTGTGTTCATTAGCTGTGTTTTCAGGCAATAGTAGGGAGGGCTGTGGAGGATGGAAGGTGCCAGGTTGCTGTAATGTCTACTGAATCTCCATGTTCCCAAAGGCTGGGGTGCGGTGATAAATCATTTAAAAGAAAACCAGTTGTTAACAATTTGGCTGACATGTAATATAAGTTGTAATAGTTGTAATATAAGTTGGTTATGCCATGGACTAGCTAAGAGAGGCATATGAATATCTGTTATATAACGTCATCCCACACATTCCCGATTGGGCCCCAGTTAGCTTTTGTAATCTTTCACTTCACCTCTTCACAGTCCATTGTGAGCATATCTTGTACACCAGTCTGTCCAGCCCCTCTCTTCATATTGAATGCTGTCGAAAGTGTGCCCCCCCTTTCTCAGCTGCAGAAATGCTCTTAATGGCTCAGTGTGTGATCAGGGGTGTCCTAGCTGCTTATCCGAGCATGCAGCCCAGCAGGTTAAGAAAGGGGAGGGGGGACGAGCAAGCGCCCCCTCCTGAACCATACCAGGCCACATGCCCTCAACATGGGCTCCCCCCCAAAGCACCTTATCCCTATGTTGATGGGGACAAGGGCCTCTTCCCCACAACCCTGGGCTGTGGTTGTTGAAGTCTGCGGGTGGGGGGCTTATCCAAATCTGGAAGCCCCCTTTAGCAAGATGGGCCCCAGATCCCTCCCCTTCCCCTAATTGAATGAGTATGGGGTACCCATTCACAAAAAAAAAGTGTAGTGTGAAAAAGGACAGGAGGCAGTCTTTGACAAGTCCTTTATTAAAAGAAGAAAAGTAAAAGAATGTCCCCCGAAGTAGATGCAACGTCAATCATGATGCCCGCAGCTACCCGGAAAAAAAAAGGCTCCGCTCCTGACACTGGCTCCTGGCCCTCTGCCTGCTTCGCTGACTTGGTAGTTCTTAAATATATAAAGGGCAGGGCCACCCGGGGACATCACACGTGTGACCCTGCCCCTTGTGGCGTCATCAACCGGGGCATGCTGTTTCAATGATGTCTCAAGGAGGTGGGGCCACACGTGTAATGTCACTGGGTGGCCACGCCCCTTACATATTTAAAAACTGTCAAGCCAGCAGGGGAGGCAGATGGCCTGGAGCCAGCATTGGGTAGCGGTGACTGCGGGCATAGTGATTGACGTTGGATCTAGTTCGGGGGACATTC